AAGAAACACTGTTTCTAAAGTAGCTTTTCTGCAGGGAGTGGCCACACGTTTTGTAGTGTGACCAGAGTAGGGAGGTTGGATCAGAGATACCCACATTGTTGGTTGCAAGACGTTGGCACAGCGAGCTGAGTCAGGGTTCCCCATGTCTCTAGTGGGGTGCAGGGCTGGCATGCAAGTCCATAGGACGGAAGAGTTGGTGCTGGCTCCCTGGGGCTCTGCTGAGTCCTCTCAGCAAAGGAGAAATGCCAGTATAGTCCCCAGGAGGGTTGTAGGAGCTCCAGAGCCCAGAGGCAGCAGCCATCTGAGGATCCTGTGCTTCTCCCCTGCTTAGGGCAGAAACTTTCATTGCCTGAGTGTGTGCCGAGTTCCCTCTTATTTTTAAACAGCCCTTGGCATCCCCTGGAGCTGCCAGCCCTCGGGTGGAGCAAGGCTGTGCTATTCATGGGCTGCAGAACTAGTGCTCACACAGATCTAAAAGCAGTGGGGCAGTGCAGGAGACTCTAGGGCACTGCCTTAATAACCTCACCCTGGGCACAGGAAGCTACTTGTGGTCTATTTTTAAAGGTAAAGGGCTGGAAATACATTTGCCAGCTGGTCGCTGACCACATACAAATAACAGGGAGCTGTTGGGATGCACAAGCCCCCTTGGGCAGTGGCTGAACTTGGCTGATTTTGGAAACTTTGGCTCTAATTCCCTTAGGTCTAGGTCAGGCTTTGCATCCCCCCTTGCCCAGCCAAGGGGTTTAGAGCTGTGCCAGAGCCCTCATTGCACAGGGTGTCCCCAGGAGAGGTGCCTTCTCTGCAGTGGGATGGTGTGCATGGTGCTGCCTGTGGCTGGAGGTAGCTCTGGGCAGGACACTGAGGTGTTGGTGGGTATGAGCACCTTCCCCTGGGGCAGCTTTGCTGTAGGAAGGCTCCCAACTACCAGCCGGGTTGGATGGGGCAGCAGCAGCTTCCAAAGCCTGACTCCAGTGCCTCTACACTGTGGACCATCGCAAAGCACTGTTGCTGCAGGCTGTGTGAAGGCAATCCTTTTGGAAGCACACAGAAGAGGTCAAGGAAATGACTTTGCTGTAGGAAACTCTCGTTGGGCAGATGGAGGAAGATGTGGGCTGGAGCAGATGTGTTGGTACTATGGAAACAGCCGTGTGGGGAGGAAAACTTAGTGATGAACATCCCCTGCTGAGTGCCAGCAGGTTAATCTGTGCAGGTTGCATGTGAAGGCTGAGCATGGGCCTGGTTTCCTTTCAGCCCAAGCGGGGAATGAGCAATGTTTACTAAGCCCAGCGCCTTTGGGCTGCTTCCCTATGGGTTACTCATAAGGATGGTTGCTGGAATCGAGATACTAAAGCTGTCAGTGTGTCTTTATTAGCAGACACATCAATTGCTATAATTCGTCATGGCAAGAAAGAGGATTAAAAACAAATGTCTAGTTATTATAGCCAGTTTAGGTTGGCATGTGCAGGATGCAGGTGGTGTCCTTGGCTGGCAGCCCCCTTGAGCCTGGCTGTCACCCCACCAGGGACACCTCCACCCAACCAGGACTCCATGTGCTCCAGGGAAAAACGTCTTCTTTTCCCTTTTGGAAGTGTTTAGGTGGCTTTACCATCACCATCCCTTTGGTGAGAGCAGTTGTTGGCACTGCCATTTGCTCCTCTGTTGGAGATAGACCCATCAGAAATGATGCCATCATGATGTTGGGCTTGGGAACCAGTTCACTTGCATTAAACCCGTGCGCAATCCTGGACCTGGGAGCATCTCCGTGATTTTTCAAGCCCTCAAGTCTGCATACGTGGAAATTAACTTTTCTGAAGAAATTTGGCAGTTCTGCTGCTAGGACTAGGAGGTGCCAAGAAATAATCCAGAGCCCCTTTAGATGAACTTCTTCTTAAGCTTAAAATGTGCTCTGGCTGCGTTCCTGCCAGGTCATTCTGGGCTTGTATTCCGATTTGTTTGTGCTTTGCCTGTGTTTTGGATTGCCTTCCTCCCTGCTGAGATTCAGGGCTGTATCTGCGGGGAGATTTTGGAAGGACAACATGTCTTTTTGGTGAAGAAATAGAGGTTAAAGCTGCCGGCTTGGGATGTGATTGCTGTATGGAACAGACCGATTGAAAATGTGATAGCCTTCCCCCTCAGTAACACGTGTCTTCATTTCCAGGAAAAGAGGGGTTCCTCTCCCTGGCAGCACTGTTGATGACCTCCTGAAGCATGTCAGCTACAAAACACCACTGACACTTACCCAATTCCTAGAGAAGTTTAACCACTACATGCCCGCCATTGCGTAAGTACCCTGCTTGTTTTGCTTCTTCCCCTTTACCCCATGGCAAGACCCCTTGGCTAACATTATACAGCCTTGGAGGTCGCCTCGCCTGTCCCCAGCGTGCCCCGAGGCTGACGGGTCATGGTGATGGGGCCCACTGCCGTCCCTGCAGGGGTGACCGTGAGGCAGTGAGGAGGATCGCCTACGAGCTCGTGGAGACGAAAGCAAAAGAAGGTGTCATCTACGTGGAGGTCCGGTACAGCCCCCACCTCCTGGCCAACTGCAGCGTGGATCCCATCCCCTGGGGCCAGACCGAGTGAGTGATCCCACCAAGCATGGAGAAGGCATGGCCCATGCTGGTCAGCCAGCTGGTATTCGGAGTCTGGAGTAACCAAGCCTTGTCTCTCCTCCCATGCCGGCATGTTTCCACCTCTTTTCCCCATCGATAGGGTCCTCATCTTGCAATATCTCTGTGTGCTGCTGTGTTTTAATGTCTCTTGCTTTGGGCACCAAATTCTGCATGTGCAGAGCAGCTGTGCTTAGGCTTCTGGCTGAAGCTGTTCTCTGTGTGAGGGAAAGCAGCACTCCCATCTGGATTGCCTGCCCGCAGAATGTGAATTTGAGCTGGTAGAGATGATGGACACATCAGAGGGGCTGGTGATCTGATCCCTTCTTTGCATGTCATTCCCTCTGTGATGTGTGCCTCTGATTAAATCACTGCTGGGCTTTGTGGCCCTTGCAAAGGTGCTGTGATGGGCACTGAGACCCTATGCATGCCTCTGCCTGACTGGAGGCCCTTCTGCACCCTAATGAGATGCTCTAGCAGAGTGGGTTCCTCTGGGCAGGATTGACATCTGGTTCCCTGAGGCTTTTTGAAATCTTATTATCATCTTTGCATGCTTTTGCACCTGACATGTGGTAAAGCTGGGCACAGCATGGCTGTAAAAGGTGCTATTCAGCTCTGGGCAGACTCATTGGGCTCCTCTGGTGCTAAGGCAAGTGGGACCCCAGACAGGCTGGGTTTTGCATGGGGTGTCCCATGGGCATGCTGGGCTAGACCTATGACTCCTGCCTGCCTCCCTAGTGTGTATCTGGTCTCTCGATGTCATCTTTTCTTCCCTACAGGGGAGACCTCACTCCAGATGAAGTCGTTAACCTCGTAAATCAGGGACTCCAGGATGGAGAAAGGGATTTCCGCATCAAAGCCAGGTCTATTCTATGCTGCATGCGCCATATGCCAAGTAATGTATTGCAGCTCCCCTGCTGCTCTGCTCCCCTTCCCTGACGCGTGGCGGGGGTCCCCTGGGTTCAGGTCCCCGCAGAAATGCAGGGAAAGCCCCAGTCCCTGGGCCCAGTGTGGGACCAGACAGGGCTGAGGAGTAGTTTTTGTCTTGGTGAGGGTCCTCTGCTCCCTTCACTGTGGGGAATGCTGGGCGTGAGAGTGGGGGTCTCTGGGTACAACTGGTATCTGAAAGGTCTTGCTAGAGAGACAAAATGGGCTCTTCTGTCCTCTCCTGGAGGAGGTGTGATTTCTGCTCATACCTTACTCCTTGCCCAAAGGCTACAGCTCTCCTTGGGCCAGTTGAAGCCCTTGCCACAGCGAGTGGTTGCATCTGCCATGGTTGTCTGGTGGGTCTGAAAGCAAATGGTCATGGAAGGAGGAGCAGGCATGAGATCTTGCACTCACCCTGCTCATGGTCATGCTGCTCCAGCAGCATCCTCCCTCATTAGCCTGGCTCGTGGCTCAGCCGGAGAATCCACTGGCTGCAGTCTCTGCTGGTTTAAGCTGAAAACGCAAGTCAAATGTTCTGAAGTCACATATATAAAATGTCTTTTATAAAATCAGCAGCTCTGAACTTTGTTGGTAACAGATGCTGTGACCCTGCGTAAGAAGAAAACCCAATTCCCAGTGTTTTGTTGGGCTTCCAAGCTCTGTAAGCATCTTTTTAGCAAGGTTGCATGACAGTAGCTGTTCTGTGTGAAAACCTTGTTATGAGTATCTTCATATCTCACAACAGTTTTATGTAGGCTTAGTAGGGTAGATGATTTTTGCTAATAAGTCACTGTTAATTTGTGTCTAGAAATGTGAAAAATTATATTATTGGATACTGGGAGATGTGTGAGGGGTTTTTTCCTGTCTGCACAATCACCCCCGAACAATACACTTTGAAAACTTGACCCTTCAATTTCTGGTTTCTAGGAAGAGAACTTTCTTCTTTGTTGAAACTAGAAAGCTGTAAAGCAGTATCAAACTTGTCTGCAATTACAGTCCCTGCCATTGCACGAGTGGTAAAGGGAGAAGGTGGTACCCGAGGGCACATGTGCTTGCACAGCAGGAGGGATTGCTCATGCAAACAACTGAGTTGACATTCTCATCCCTGTGTCCTAGGGCACAAGCTCTTACCCAGAGCAAGTGATGTGCTCAGTACAAGTCTTTAGTGCTGCATTCACGATGTGCTGCACAGTGCGAGCCACCCTGTAATTTGTGAACTGGTGAGAGAAAGGCAGAGATGCCAGCCAGGACTAGCTCCTATTTAACTTGTTAATAAAATAATGGCTCTAACCCTGTGAGTTGGAAACTGGTGAAAAAAGAAGATGAAATTTCACATGTTTTCTTACGCGTTGGTATGATTTTGGGATTGTACGTACACAGCAGGTGCCCGTTAATTATTAACACGGCCTTTTATCTGTTTCTTGGCCTTTTTGCTAAGGGTAAGTAGGTGCTATATGAGCTAGTGAATGCATGTCCTTTCTCAGAGGTTATCTATCCTGATCAGAGATAGCTCTGAAGTAGCTGTTGGCCACGTGTTACTCTCTTTCTCACTGATGCCATAAGATACATCTCTGTGAGTGTTAAAGGTCAGCCTTACAGGATGCCGACCAGCTCCTTCCCAAGAGTAGTATCCATCCTGTTGTCTGGGGGAGTCAAGGATGCTCTGCACCAGGGCAGGGCTGACTTGTACAGTGACCCCAGAGACCCCTCCCAGCCCAAACTCCTCAGTGACACAACACGTTCAATGGGCTGGTTCTTCCCTTTCCCAGCCTGGGAATGGGTGAAAGCTCAGGAGCGAGTGGAGGGATTTCTCCCATGCACCATGTTACAGAAGCCCAGCTTACCTTGGGCTTGCAGCACTCACCACCAGGGTTGGAGGTTGTTTCTATTTTATCTTTTCCCCTGCTCAAAGTGAGCAGCAAAACATGATGAGAGCAGTTTTATGGCTGGTAAATGCATTTTATTTCCTTTTCACTGATGATGGACTAATGGGTTGGCAGCTTTTATTTGACTGAAGACGACAGACCCTTCTAGGAGTTTGTTCTTTATGAGCACCAAAAAGAAAATAGCTCTAGCCTTACTTATAACTATAGGTCCAGGATTTGTTCAGGAGAATGCTGGAGGTGTGACCCTGACGAA